ACGCCCTTCAATTATAGAATGGCTAAACAAACTGTGGTACACAGAAATTTTTATACTATAAGAAATTATGACTATAAGGAATACAGAGAAGCACGGGAAAATTTCTATGAGTAGATACAAAGTGAAGTAAACAGGGCCACACACCCATACATACATGTACACGCACACATACAAACACACAATAACTCAAACAATACAAATGGAAAGAACTTAAAAAAACTGAAACTGAACACTGTGATTATAATGAATAAATTTGGCCCCATGGAGAAATATGAAGATGTAACTCTCGCCCTTTTTCATTTTTATTTTTTGCAGTCAGGAGACAATGGGTGTAGGGTACCATGTACTATGGTATTTTGTCAATATATTGCTCAGTTTTGCTGAACTGATTATCTTCTTTCTTTTTTATTCATTGTTATAAGGAATGGTTCTCTAAGGCAAAAGGGAGAAATATCAGGAAATGAGGGTGATGGGAAAAATAAAAGATATCAATAATATTCAAAAACATTTTACAGGAATGTCTATGGTGCTGGTACCAGGTAATGAGTTTGATTGTTAAGTGAAGGAACATACACTGTTCCTTTAGGTGAGATAACTTCTCACATCTAATGTAATAAGTCTCCGGGGTATCCCCAAACTTTGCTCTATGATAAAGGTAAAGCTTTCACAGGAGATTTGTATTCTCAGAAGAAAATGCTTTTTGATTTTCTGGAATAGGGTCCTTTGGCTTGTGTTTTTGGAGTTGATCATTTACAACACTTGAACTGACAGACCAGAAAGTCAATCATACAGGTGTATATCACAAGGCTTGTCTCCATCCACCAAGATAAATTGCAACAGTCACTGAAAGAGTAAAGTAGTATGAAAATCCCAGGAACCCTGTGAAATTTTCATTAAACAGAATAACCTCTCACATATGGGCTATTATTAAATATGATAGAAAACATTGGTTCAACAATGCTCAGCCAGGCTTTTCAGGCCTTAATCATATTACAGGTATTTGGAAGGATTTAGGCACTCCAAAATTTTCTCTGTAAGATCCAAAAGACATTCATGTTCAAGTTTGGTAAACGTCCTGAGTTTGCAGTGTCATGGGATACAAGGAAACCTTCTTTTCTAGCCTTCAGGTAATATTACACTATCTATGAGGGCATTGTTTGGTGGAGGGAAGAGAGGAAGAAGGGTCCATATTTTGAAAAAGCTGTCCATAACCTGGTACTAGATGTTCAAGGATCCTTGGCTCTGTCTTTGTGCTTCTTCCCCCCAACTAGGTTGTATGTTTTGGGGCTCAAGAACTCTCCTACACTTGTTCTTTTGTATTCTCTCATAGCACTCCACAAAGTAAACACCAAATAATAACTTACTGATGAATTACTCCATAAGATACCAATAAACGGTGAGAGAACTTCAATTATCCTCACATCTCTTCCATCTCTCTGTGTGTTTCTCTTTCCCAAAAGCAGAACAGCTAACAACTTCTTGATCTGCCTTACTGATAACTTAATACTTCCAATGTCAGGGAAAATAAGGCAGGGATTATATTCCAGATCTAATTCTTACTAGTAGGGAGGAAACAGTTGCTGAGGTGGAAATGATGAGAACTCTGGGAGGAAGTAACCACTCTGTGCAGTCTAGAATGTGATAAAGATCCACTGGAGAAGGAAATGGCAAACCATTCCAGTCTTTTTGCCAAGAAAACCCCCATATAGGGTCATAAAGAGTAGGCCATGACTGAACTACTCAACAACAACAACAGTATGATAAAGGAGAAGAAATGTGGATCTAGGGTGAAATGCACATTAGATTTTAAGAACGCAGAGTTCAAAGTGTTCAGAGGAAGGTAGAAACCCATAGACTAAAATTCAAATGAGGGAAAATTCAGGAATGGCAGGATCGTGACTTTGATTCTTAAGGAAATTTTAGACTAGATCTTTAAAGAGATGGTTAGTAAACATCGAGAAAGGGAAGCAGTGTTTACAAAGGGTTAATATGCCATTGTCAAGAAGAGATCACATTAGAATAATCTTACATCCTTTTTTGATAGGGTTACTACAAAGGTATATGAGGAGAATGCTATAGATTCAGTTTACTTAGATTTTAGCAAAGCCTTTGATCAAGTGTCTCATGCCATTCTTGCAGATAACATGAAGAAATATAGTTAGATGGATTCAGAAAGAGTTGAATGACAGGACTCAAAGAGTAGTGAATAATGCTTTAATATCAATGTGGAAGGTCTCCAAGTACCCCAGGAATCTGTGCTTAGTCCTGTGTCGTTTACCATTTTATCAATGACTTGTATAAAGGTATAGATAGCATGTTCATCACATTTGCAAAAGACACCAAGCTGAGAGGGATAGTTAACACAATGGATGGAAGAGTCAGGATCGAAAAGAACCTGGGCTGAATCTCATAAGGGGAATTTTGTTACAGATAGATGTAAAGTCTTACAATGGATACAAAATCAGCATCCCAAGCACAAGATGGGAGTTTGAAAAAGTTCTGGGTGTTTGAGTGGATGTCAAGGTCAAGATGGCAGCAGGGTGATGTGTCAGTCAAGAAACTTGAGGCTGCATTGAGTGGCATGGCTTTCAGGACTGAGGAGGCAATGGTCTCTCTGTGCTCTGTTCTGGTCAGATGTCATTTGGAGTATGGGATTCAGTTCTAGGTGTCATAGTTTAAGAAGGATACAGCTAAGCTGAGGAGAATTCAGAGAATGGCAATCAGGATAGCAAAGAGCCTAGCATCCATGTCAATAAGGATCAATTGAAAGAAGTGGGGATATTTAGACTGGGTAAGAGAAGACTGAGAAAATCTCTTTTAAATTATATGAGGCAGCCATGTTACATTCTAAGTGTCAAGTAATGTGATTGTGAATCACATCACTGTGCACAATGAATCAACTGATTCAAGAAGGACCACAGGATCTTTTTAGTAACATAAAATATATAGGGACCCAATTCGCACCTTCTGAATTCTGGCAACTAAGTACAAAATGCAGCCTGAAGGGAGAGTATAAGTCTAAGTAGACATTTACTTCTATTTTACTATATACAATCAATTCAAATGCTTTGAAATATACATGGACAGACACATTTTTGTTTCAATATTGTGGGCAAGAACCACATACATAATGGATATGGAATGTTTGAGACTTTGTACAGAGAAAGTGAATAGTGGGGGCGGAGTCTTCCTAAAATACCAATAGAACATGATGTTCTCCAACTGCCCAAGGTGGTTTTTATGAAGCTTTGTGGGTCAAAAACTAGCAGAAAGCACTGTTTTTACATTATGCAGACCAGTTTCTTCCATGTCATCCTACACAGTGCCAAGAATGTATGCCTTGTCAAACATGGGAAAATTGGGATTACTTTATGATATATTAAAGTTAATAAGAACAAATGAAGGGCTATAGTATAGAAAGTAAAGTTTTTGCAGAATAAACTTAAATTGAAAAGGGGAATTTTCTTTGGAACATATAGAGGAAGGAAATGGATATGTATTAGAACTATAAGCACTACAAAATATGAATCTCAATCATGCCTCAAAAAATGTTCAAACAAGAGTAATTTTCATCATTTTGGGTTAGAGTTCAGGTTGTGTACTCCCCCTTTATATTTTAAAACAAGACTGCTGAGTTCTTTTTATTGGCAAGTACATTTTGAAAGGTCATTTTAGTAACAGAGGAGCATGTTTAAACATATACAGCCAATCCAATTGAGTAGCAAACTAGCAAACATTTTCCTAACCATCTGGGGAGATAGTTTCCATTTACAAAAATGTAATAAGAAAATAGCTTCTTATTTGAAATACCAAAGCAGGTCAAAAAAATTTTTTATGAAAAAAAAAAACCCATTACAACACAACCACTAAATTATAGATTTCTGAGACTCATTTGATGATCCCATTTATTTCTAGTAATATCTAATCCAACCATTTTTCAGGAGAATTAAATAATTTGTTCCAAGCTTCTCAAGAATTTATTGGAATCAGATAAGATGTGTATATTTTGGGGTCTAAAAAGGGAAATAATGACAACAACAATAATCATATTTATATAGCACTTTAAGATTTGCAAAGCACATTACATGTTATATCATTTTGTCCCCACAACAACCCTGTGAGGTAGGTGCTATTATTTTCCCCATTTTACAGGTGGGGAAACTGAGGCTGGGAGAAGATAAGTGACTTGTCCAGGGTCACAAAGCTAGAAAATAAGGCAAGATTTGAACCTGGGTCTTCTTGACTCCTGGTGCAACATTCTATCTACTGTATCACCTAGCTGTAGGATATATATGCTTCCTAGTTTATTCCATAAAGAGCAAGAAGATTTGAAATGATATTAGCCAGAGAGAGGTTGATTATTGATAATTATAATAATTACTAATGAAGCCAAATTGTGAGGTAAATAGAGAAACTAGAAAAAAAAACAGAGTTGTCCTAGCCACAAAAGTACAGCTTAGAGAAAAAGAGTCTATATAACACCAGCCCCACTTCCCCACCAAAAAAAAAAAAAGTTTGATAAGGAAATAGAAGGAAGAAAATAGATTAATAGACATTTGCAATTAGGTTGGAAATTAGAATGAACTTACTGAATGAAGTGAAATGAGAATTAATGGAAGTTGTGTTTTGCTTGAAGACTGACTAGGTGGGCACAAACAAGAGGTCTGTCCAAGAGCATTGATATCTGCTTAGAAGGGCCTCCATTAGAATAGTCACATACCAATTATGTTCTGTAGTTTTTCCTCAAGATTAGAAGCCCAAAGTACTTCTTTACTCCCTTATAGTGGAGAACAACTACTTCCTTACAAAATCTGAATACTTAAGCTTTTTTGTATATTGTTGATGTTCAGTCATTTCAGTTGTGTCCAACTCTTTGTGACCCCATTTGAGGTTTTCTTGGCAAAGATATTGGAATGGTTTGACAGTTCCTTCTCCAGCTCATTTTACAAATGAGAAAACTGAGGTAAACAGGGTGAAGTGACGTGCCTATGGTCATACAGGTAGTAAATGTCTGAGGCCAGATTTGAACTCAGGAGACTTCCTGACACCCGACCCAGTGCTCTGTGCACTATGGCGACATCTAGTTGCCTTTTTTAATATGCCCAAGGCAATTAATTCTTCTTTCAGTTTGGTCTATTATAGAAGATTTTAAGTTTTCATTGCTCAAATGATTAATGACAGTGAAGAATAGAACATGCAAAGAAAGAAACTCTTAGAAGAAGCAACTGTGATTTTGTGAACCTGAAGAACTCTGATTGTGGGAATTCCCTTTGCCAGTACAGATTGTGACCCATTCATGAATTACTAGATAAGTCCTAGGCAGTCCCCTGAGGTATACGAGGGCAAAGGGACTATTCTATAATCACAGTTACTAAGTATCAGAGGCAGGATTTAAATTCACATCTTCCTGACTGCAAGCTAAGAATCAGGGAGAAAATGGTCCCAATGATACCCTCAATTTCACTGCAGAGTTTCTCAGGAAATAGTTTTTCTTTCTAGAGGATAGAGAAGATAATAGTGACATTCTGTTTATCCATTTACCTGAGAAGAGAAGCATTTTATATTGCTGGTTTAATAATATAGCATTTATGCTTTAAAGAAAATAGCTAATGAACATTTTTGAGCATTGGTAAGTACAGATTAACCATCTGAAGTGTTGCTTAGTCAGAGGAAGGGCAACTAAAGCTATTTCCTTCTCATCCTTACTTCAAACTTCTGCCTTAGTTCCATATTTCCTTCTTCATCTCCTTCTGGAATGGGCACATTGTAGTATTCACCTTCTTCTTGGTTAAGCAACTTATACCTTTCAAAGAAATGGGAGAAAACTGTAAGTTCACTTATTCTCAAATTAACAACAACAGTTTATGCAATGCCTCTCTTTCAACCAGTGATTAAACTTTGATAAAGGCAGTGCTTAATCAGATATAGCAAAACCAAGTAGGTTCTGTCCAGTCACTTTTGGAGAAGGTGTTTGGACCCTTTTGAAATGAGTTATTCTAATTCTCTATGTATGCAAAGCTTTAAGCCAAATAACTTTATTTGTATGTATATTTGACTAGATGAGGTCTTACCATCCACTTGCTGGCATTTTCATAAGCTCCGATACCCCAAATGAAAGTGAACCCATAAAATCATTTCTTGTTGTTCGATCCCAGTCCCAGATTTCGACAGATAACCGTCTATCTTTATCTGTAGGTTTTAATTTGCTAGAAAGAATGAGGGGGAAAAAAAAAGCACACACTAATCATCTCAGCATGAATCAGGGAGAAAATGGTCCCAATGATACCCCCAACTTCACTGCAGAGCTTCTCAGGAAATAGTTTTTCTTTCTAGAGCATAGAGAAGATAATAGTGACATTCCGCTTATCCATTAACCTAAGAAGAGAGCCACAGGTGGAAAGGCATAGGGATATTCTAAACATCAGGATGGTTTATAATAAATACACCTCTTTAAGAGCAGGAATAGAGCATATATAGGAAGGACACATCAGTAGAGAAGAAGAGAAGAGGTTTCTATTGTTGTTGTTTGTCCTTCTTTCTCAAAGAGGACCATAACATCAGGAGGTGATGCCATGACATGCAAGGGAACTGGATTTAAGTTAGGGAGGGCTGTGCAAAGTCACCAGCCTCACTCCCTCCTCTGGAGCCATCTGGGTCCAGTGGCCAGATATAGATCAGGACAATTGGAGATGGTTCAGATGCAGTGAGAGACCTTGGCCATTTTAAGTTAAGGTCTTTCCCAGGTGTCAATTTGACTGAGGCAATGCCCATTCATTGATTAGGGCTAGGTAAGAAATGAGGCAAAGAATGGCCTCTTTTTACCTAGAGAAGAAGATAAGAGGTTTCTACTTACAAAGTGAATGACTCATTCCACTGTGGGTTTAGTGTGGAGCGGATTGTTTTGGTTTTTTGTTTACTTTCATTCTTAGGGTCTGGGATAAGTTTCAGCTTCACATAGGGATCTGAAAGTCCATTTGGATCCATAGGGATCAAGTTTTTTGCATCTCGTACTATACAAAGAGAAAAAGGGAAAAAAAAAAGCAGATGTTAATAAAAGAGGGCTGGCCATTGTATACACACATCTAATGATGGCAATCCAATCCAAATGGAAGAAATGTCAAATTAGTGTACGACTTGGGAGTGGGCAACAAATATGATGAACCTTTAAAAAAGTACTACTCAGTTCCATAGTCAGAGTTTATTCACACAGATGTTTGCTTTTAACAGAGCTGTAAAGACCAGATATTCCTATCCTCTCTCTGTCTCCAAATCCAGGATCTCCCTTCGTCTACCTAGAGAGCTGTAACTAGCAATCCTATCTGAGTTGAGTACCACAAAATGGACTCAGGTGCAAAAAGTACAAAAACACTCTCAAATCAATATAAAAAAAAAAAGGACAAATACAGCTGGACATGAGGGAATGACCTTGGAAAGAGGCTAGATCTCAGAATAAAAAGCTTGAGGGGAGAAACCCTGAGATAATGCAAGGCTCCTGCCAGGGAGTGGGCTTGGTTGGGGAAGAAAGTTGGGGAGGAACTCATCTAGAGGTGATGTCATGGAGTGCGGTGGGGTGGGGTGGGGAGGAATCATGTCATCCTGTAGTACATTCGTATTTTTAATAATTATTTTTGTTAACTAGGTGATAGCTCAGCGGCTGCTACATGCTGAAGGAGTATAAGTACTCTCCAAATCCTGGAACCTCTGGGCATAACTCTAGGCAGTCTGGTACAGTGGATAGAGTGTAAGACCTGGAGTTGGGAATGTCTGAGTTAAAATCCAGCCTAAGACATTTACCATCAATGGGCAAATCCCTTAACCTTTATCTGCCTTAGATTCTTCATCTGAACAACAGGGATAATAATAATACCTACCTCATAGGATCAAATGAGAGTTCTTTGCAAATTTTTAAGGCCTTTATGTTAGCTATTATTATAATTATTATTAATTACATAATTATTAGGGATTATTATTAGGCAACTAGGTAGCCATAGTGGATATGGTACTAGACCACTTTAAAATACTTCAGTCATGAAGAACTAAGATGAAATTTCATTTCAAATACTTAATAGCTGTGTGACCCTGAGCAAGTCCTTCACTTCTATCAATCTGATTTTACCCCTTTATAAAATGGGTACTACTAGCACCATAAGGTTGTTCTTAGAAAATATATATAAAACACTTTGCAAAACATAAAGTGCTACATAAAATTATTATTATTATTCTCTCAGTGACAACTCTACCTAACCCAAAAATATATTTATAAACTTTCAATTCAACTAAATAAAAAGATTGGGTTAATAATCCCAACACAGAGAAACCCACATTTCTTCAGAATCAAATCTACCTTATATTTTAAAAACAATGACATCAGTGGCAATAAATACTTACAACCCAGTTTTATTAAGACAAATGACAGAACATTAACACATTTCCTCAAATCACGCTTTTTAAAAAAATTGAAATCTCCTAAGGAAACGTTACTGTGCTTTACTTTTAAAGACCAAAGTTCATTCTGTACCTTCTAGTTTTATAGTTTCAGATGTCACAGACTGAAGATTCATCTGCCAGTTGGGTACACACATGGATTAAATCTAATGCTGGCACTCAGAAGCTTAAAAAAAAAAAACTGCTCCATGCACCATTCAGCAAATGAATAAACTCCTTGAATCCACATTGGTTAATTAAAGACCCAAGTTCTATTAGGGAACTTAAAGGTAATAGCAGGAGTAGTAACAACAACAGGTTTGTGAAGTACAGTACATATATTATCTCATTCGGTTTGTACTGCAACTCTGTGATATGGAGAGCTTTTATTGAGTCTTAGAGGGCAAATGACTTGCCCAGTGTCAGACGTGTAAGAAGTACCTAAGCCTGGATTTGAATTCAGGTCTTCCTGACTCCAGACCTAGCACTTTATCCATAATGCCACCAAGTATAGTATAGCATATAGTATATCAGTAAACAATTATTATATGCTTACTATGTGTTGGGAACTATACTAAGCATTGGGGATATTAAAAAAACAAAAAGATAGTCCCTGTTCTCAAGGACCTCACACTATAAAGGAGGAAACAACATGGAAATAACTTGTTCCTCAGTCATGTCCAACTCTTCATGACCTGTCTGGGGTTTTCTTTGCAAAGATACTGGAGTGGTTTGCCATTTCCTGCTCTTGCTCATTATACAGATGAGGTAACTGAGGCAAACAGGGTTAAAATGACTAGCCCAGGGTCACACAGCTAGTAATTGTCTGAGGCCAGATTTGAACTCAGGAAGGTGAATCTTCCTGACTCCAGGTAGGGCAGTCTATCTACTGTGCCTCCTAGCTGCAAAAAGTACTATGTACATGTAAGACATACGCAGGATACATTGAAACCAATCAACAGAATCAGCAGAGGATATCCAAAGTTTTTTAAATTGTACCTCTCTACCAGTAAAATGTGTGTGTGTGTGTGTGTGTGTGTGTGTGTGTGTGTGCGTGTGTGTAACTCTGGCCAAGTCCCTAAATTCCTTAACGCTCTAGGCAAACCTCTAAAACCGGATTTTTTAGCCTTTTGTGTGCCAGGACCTCTTTAACAGTGTGATGAAATCTATACAGAACTCTTTTCAAAATACTGTTTCTAAACGCATAAAACAAAATGCATAGGATTACAACAAAAGAAAATAATTATATTGAAATAGAGTTATCAACATATATTAAGTAAAACACACCAAGTTCACAGAACCCAGGTTAAGAATGTCTGCTCTAAGACTACAAAACACAGAGTAGGTACCAACCTGACCTGGTTCAGGGAGTTTTCTCACCTGGTGGTTTCTATGCCAATGAAATCACTGGGCCATCATGATGAAAAATGCTTTCTACCTCCAGAGAAAGAGCTGATGGAGTCTGAATGCAAATTGAAGGATACTATTTTTCACTTCACTTCACTTTTCATGTTTTTTTTTTCCCCTTTTGGGTCTGTGTCTTCTTTTACAACATGACTAATATGGTAATATGTTGTGCATGATTGAACATGTATTACCTATATCAAATTATTTACCATCTCAGTAAGGGGGGAAATGAGAGAGGGAGGGAGAACATTTGGAACCTGAATATTAAAAACTGTCTCTACATACAACTGGGGAAAAATAATTAAAAAAAAAATCACTGGTCCAGTATTTGTTCCTACCACACACACACACACACACACACACACACACACACACACACACAATACCAATATATTAAGTACAATTATTATAAAAATATACAAAAATAGAAAAAAGATAAAAGATGAAATATTTCAAAATAATTTTATTTTATTTAACAATATAAAACCCTTTTCCTTTTGCTCTCACTAAAATGATTGTACTGTTTAATGAGAGCAATGTGTTTGACTATGGCTCATTATTTTTTAAAACCCAGGTTTAGCACTTCCTGATAGGGAGAGTCAAAGGTTTACTTCCAACTTAAATTTATTTTTATACTTGGTTTTAACAGCTGAAAAAGATACTTCACAAAGATATAGATATCCAAAGGGAAGAAATGAATCATTTGTTGAGGAAACTAAATCATGATACTTATTTTTTAATCCCATCCAGAAATTATGCAAAGCTTTTGTTTAAATTTGGTTATATATTTCCATCTTCACAGAGATTAAAATAGAAGTTCTAATATTTTCTTCCTGCACACCCCACTATGGAAACCACTGGTATAGAAAATTAGAGTCTCAGTCCTTCTCAGAATTAACCAGACAAATCATTCAATCACTAAGAACAAGTATGAAATAAGGGTTACATATGGTACCCTGGATGGAGTGCTGTACTTAGTCAGAAAGACCTAATTTCACATCCCGCTTGATCCTTACTAGTTGTAATGATCCTAAGCAAGTTGCCTAATCCTCTCCGTACCTTAGGCAACCCTTTAGGACCTATCTACTAAAGCTTAGTTAGACCAGTTTAGATCTGCCTCAGTGTAGGGATTTCCGCCCTTGTCAAAATTCCAGTGCCTTCTTGTATTCATATGTAGTATAGAGAACAATGTAATGTAACATAGAGAGTACTGAACTTGAAGTCAGAAAATCTGGGTTCAGAATTCTGGTTCGGACACTTACTAGCAGTAGAACCAAGTTATATACTTTTTTTTGTGCCTCAGTTTCCTGATCTATAAAATACTTATTATGATATTTGTACTACCAACTGAGTAGTGAGAAAAATGTTTTGAAAACTTCAAAGTGCTACATAAATGTGAGTCATTATTACTGTTGCTGTTGCTGTTATATATAGATCCAAACCACTTGCTGGGAAAGTCATGTGGGCAAGCCATTTCTCTTTACTGAGTCTCATTTTCTTTATCTGTAAAACGAAGGGGCTACAATAGATGATTGCTAAGGTCCCTTGCTAACTCTAACATTCCATGATTTTACTATTCTAAATAAGGATATCGCTCAACTTCTGGAGCTACATGAACTTCGCAGGGCATAGAAACTCAATATAACTCTTCTGGTCTGTTAAACAGACCTTTGTGTCTCCAAAGAGTTGGTACATTTCCCCTAATATCAACAGATCATAGACTGAGAAAAGGAAAGGAAGCTGGTGATTATTTACGTGGTGTAGCAGATCAAGTTCAGGACCCAGAGTCAGCAAGACCTATGTTTAAATCTGGCCTCAGACACTTGCTTAGTATGTGACCCTGGGCAAGTCACTTCACCTCTGCTTGCTTGAGTCTCCTCGTGGGGCTAATAATGTTAACTACCTTCCAGGGTTGTTGGAAAGGGAAAATGAGATAATATTTGTAAAGCACTTTGCAAGCCTTAAAGTGATATATAAATGCTACCTAGTGATCACCTAGTTAAACTCTCATTTTAAAGCTAAGAATACTGCATCCAAAAGATGTTAAGTAACTTGACTAAGGTTATACAGGTAGAATCTAGTGGCAGTAATTAGTAGTAGTAGTAGTAGTAGTAGTAGTAGTAGTAGTAGTAGTAGTA